TGGAGGAGGAAAATTATAGAGGACAGACTAGAAGGCAGTCAATTCATATTAAAACAATTAAAATGGAAGGTCCCAGCAAAATGCTTTTAACACTTAAATGGATAACTTGATGTACTGAGGAGTGTTTTGTTCTTTGTAAGTTTCCAGATGAATTAGTAACAGACAGAAGACAGAAGTAGAGCAACTGCTCACTCCGAGGAAAGTGAAATAATGTGCTTCTGTATTTCTCAGCACTACAAAATCCCAGACAGTTTGAAACTTGGACCTGTAGATTCTATACCTCGGTAAGACATTAATACCTTGGTAAGACATTAAATGTACAAAAATGTCCTTTAATTGTACATTTAAAAATTGCATTGTATTATAAATATAGCAATGCCATAAACCCTACATTCTTCAACTGGACATTTCTGTCTTTGGAAAGTAAAGTGGTATCTGTCTCAATTGAGAAAAAAAGAAATCCAGCACACATGGCAGGATAAAATTAAGGAATTGTCATATTCTCTTTCCTAATTCTTCCAGAAGACATTGGCATGCTCAGAAAGCACTGTAAATGAGCACTTGAAGAAGCAGGAAAAGCATCCTAGTTGACTATCTGCTACACACTGCCCTTGGCTAAGCACTTTCCTACAGAAACAGACTGCATGGATTTAAAATTAATCTTGTGAAGAACAAGGACATATGGCTCTTAAATTAGTCATAAATGAAATGCAAATAATTCTTATGCATTGTTTTTATTATTCCTATTCAGCATTATTCATTTTTGATTTCAAAATTGAGTCAGATGTTTTCAGTTTGGATATGCTAAGATCACAAGTGGAGTATGTCTGATTTACATTTAAGCACAGGCATGGATGGCGAAACGAATTAATACGTATCTAATTTATTTATTTTTCATAGCTAAGCTTCTAGAGGTAAAAGGATTTGTTCACTTAAAAACATGAGTTCAAACATATCCAACTAAGGAACAGCGTCCACATAAATGATTATTCTCAAAGTAGACATATGACACTCTGAAAATGCTTTCAGATTACAGTATTTATTGAGTTTTATGCTCAGTCTTCTTACTGGGGTAGAAGACTATGAAAGGCAGGAACAGGGAGTTCTGCTCTATAACACCAGGACAACTAACCTTTTCTTCAACTACACATGAAGCTTATTAACATACACATTAGGCCTTGTGAGACATTTTCTCCAATAAAGTGTCCCTTGAATTATAACAAAACAAATACAAAAACTAGGTTTTATCTAGGTAATTCTCGGGATTCTGTTAGTTGTTTTTTTGTTTGTTTGTTTTGTTTTCCTGCTGAGCTCTGTTACTAAGCTACACCCATTACAGCTCTCAGCTTTGCTGGTTAGTCAGCAAAATCTTCAAGTATGTTAGTTCAATGTATGTATATAAGAAATATTTCATAGGCTCTAGACTTTTTAAATAGGTTACAAAAAAGCATGTGGGAACGTAGACTCAGGTCCTTTGTAAGAGATACAAGTGCTCTTAACTGTTGAGCCATCTATTCAGCCACTTGGAATTCATATTTCAAAAGGAATTATTCAAATAATCTACCACAGTGACTCCTATCACATAAATCTCAAGTGACCTACAGAAAACCCTAGACAATCTAAAGTATTAACTACCAGTACTGAGAGATCTCCTTAGGACAAGATGTCCTAGAAATGGAGTAAAATTACAAGTCTTGTACAGCTTACAATATTAATAAGTATCTCATTAGACCATGTGATATTACAGTATAAGTTTAAGTAAAACACAGACTTGTGAATAAAATACAGTGAATGGGTCAAAAAGAAAACAATTCTTTTACAAAAAGTAAAAATTCTCCTTTTTATACTGTTAACTAGAGTCTTGCAAAGTAGTTCAGTGTCCCCAAGTGGATTAATGAACTTATTCACTACTGCATGTTATTAGCTAAGCCCTGGCCACTAATTTGGTCTCATATGGTTCAGTTAGCTTGGCATGGGACTATACAGATACATGTCATTGTTCATAAAGGAAGTAAATACATATGACTAGTGGAGATCTGGTACCATATGGGAATTCCCTTTCCCTTGCATGTGCACAAAATTATTTCTGTAAAAAGGGGTCGAAAGAAAAACTTATAGCTATGCCCTCCTATTTCTGTCAATACTTTTTTAAATAATGCATACTTAAAATATTTATTAAAATATTGCCGGGCGGTGGTGGCGCACGCCTTTAATCCCAGCACTCGGGAGGCAGAGGCAGGTGGATCTTTGTGAGTTCGAGGCCAGCCTGGTCTACAGAGCAAGATCCAGGAAAAGGTGCAAAGCTACCTGTCTCAAAAAACCCTGTCTCAAAAAACAAACAAAAAAAAATTATTAAAATATTGAAAAATGGGGCTGGAGATGGCTCATCAGTTAACTGTACTTCCTGCTTTTGCAGAGGACAGGAGTTCAATACCCAGAACCCAAATGGGTGGTTCACAAATTGACAGAAGATGGAATTGTGATGGCTAGTGTCAACTTTCAACTTAGAATCTAGAATCATCTGAAAGATGGGCCTCTAGTATGTCTGTGGGTGGTTATTTTGACTAATTAAGGTGGGAAGATCCATATAACTATGAGTAGAACCATTCTTTAGGCAGACTGTGTAAGAGAAAACAGGCTGAGAACCACATAATACACTCATTGCTCTTGTCTTCTGACTATGGAGCAGCTCTCTCAAGCTCCTGATGCCTTGACTTCTTTGACATGATAATGTGAGTTAAAATAACCTCTTTATCCTTAAGCAGCTTTTGTCAAAGTATTTATTCTAGTAGAAGGAAAAGAAACAAAGATAGGGCTGGAGAGATGGCTCAGTGGTTAAGAGCACTGGCTGTTCTTCCAGAGGTCCTGAGTTCAATTCCCAGCAACCACATGGTGGCTCACAAACATCTGTAATGAGATCTGGTGCCCTCTTCTGGCCTGCAGGCGTACACGCAGGCAGAACATTGTATACATAATTAATAAATAAATCTTTAAAAAAAAAAAAGAAACAAAGATAGCATCTTTTAGGAACACATAACATTGTGTTCTATTATTGATGATGTCCACTTTGCTCACTTAATTGTAATGTGGTGTCTGCCAGGCTTTTCCACTATACAGTTCAATTCATATTTATTTTGTAGGGAGATATAGTGAACTATGTATAGATTTTGCTTCTTGTGAGACTTTGAATTATCAATTTATGTCTGCATATACTTATGATTTCCTATTTATTCAACAGGTTAATTATTTGTTACTAACATTTGATGCTTGAATTGCCTCAGATTTGACAGTGGTAATCCCTTCAAACAGGTTCTGTGCATAAGCCTCTATCATTCTTGGGATAATTTCTTACTTCCTAATACAGGAACTTAGAGTTTATCTTAGACTTTTCTTTGCCTTAAATTTGTAACCAATCATTTCTCCAAAGAGTCCTGATGGTTTTTAATATCTAGAAGACAAAGTATATGCATATTATACTACACTGTTATTAAAGTGTGGTTGTTCCCAAGTTCTCTCAATATACAGAATATATGTATATGCGCACAAATATATGTACTTTGCCTATAGTTATTTCTATGTCTGTCTGTCATTGAGAACCAATAGTGTATTTCCAAATTCAGGGTTTGTTCTACTTCTCTCTAAGTTTGTATGTGTAAATTTCCTGACCCTGAGAATCTTCATCTTTTGAACACACTTACTTATCTGAACACTTTCCCTACCTTTATGTATCATTTCCCCTCTTCACTGCTCTGTTCCCACACAGATGACTTCCTTACCCTAACTTGAATGTCATGTCTACCATGCTGGCATCTCCTTCATCCAAGTCAAAGTCTAACATCCCATGCTATATCCAACCCTACTCTGCTGACCCTGTGTAGGCTCCTGAGCTTCATACCACCATCACCATCACCCTCTTCTCATCCTGGTTAAGTTCTGATATCCTGAGGCTGACTGCCCCAGGAAGGATGTTCTTTTCTCTTTGTTCTGAGTCCCATGTCAAGCTAGATCTCTGAATGGAATCTCTTTGCTCATGGCTGGGGCTCAGGTGCCTATTCTAGGCAACTCAACCTTCCTCACCCTACTTAAGATTAGACACTGTGTTAGGGGCCACTGTTTCCTTTGTTTCCAGCATGAACCCAGCTCCATCTTACCTAATAATACAAAAGGACTGAGCAGAAAATGGGTAGTTTTCATGTGTGAATTCAAAATAGAATTTACATAAGGTATAAATTCACTCTCAGTGTAAAAAAACGGTTATATGACATCTATTATGCTATGCCCTCTACTCTTAGCATGTGATATCTCAGTATGTTGGAGGTTCATGGGCTTGGAAAAATGTCCTACTCTGTAAGTGCAAAGATTGAGTTAGGAACCTAACCTTAGCCTTGTTAAGATAAAATTCCTACAAAACCTCTTTAGGAAGTATGATTTTGGGGCTGAAGAGATGGCTCAGTGATTAAAAGCACTTATTGCTTTTGCAGAGGAGTTTGGTTCCCAGCATCTAGGTCCGGCAGCAAAACAATTGTCTATTCCAATGCCAGGGGATCCAATACCCTCTTCTGGTCTCTCCAGGTACTGCACTTAAAATTACTGATTAATTTTTAAAAAAATCTAAAAAAAAAAAAAAAAAGCATTCTTTAAGAAAGATGGCTCATCAGATAAAAGTGTTTACACACAGATTAACAACCTGATCCCATCTCTGGAACCCATAGTAGGAAAAGAGAATTGACTCTCAAAAGTCGTTTTCTGCCCTCCATACATGTGCGTGCCCACATACACTTCTACTACCACTACTACTAATAATAAATAAAATAAAAGATAATAAAAGTATGTCCTGTAATTTCTAGCAGGCTGCCCAAACTTTCATTGTAAGTGGTCAATTATGAAAATAAAATTATTTTAGATTTTGTTATAAGCTACAAATAGAAACAATCAACATAACATTTATAGCAGTCACACAAAATAAGCCAGGGCACTGTAGACTACAGCAGACTACTTACTTTATCTACACAATCATCAAAAAAAGCCAGGCTTGCATCTTTATCGCTGACAAAAGAACATTCCTCAATGAAGCGAATGAACATTTGTGTTTTGGTCATCATATTATAGAATTTTTGATGTGATCGGTCCCGGCTTCTTAAGAAAGCTATTCAATATAAATAGATAATGTGAGAATAGGTTCAGAAAAAATTTCTGCTAGAAGAAACTTGATCAACAATGTCATCTATATTCTCATTTTGTTCACTACCTTACAGAAAAACAAAGCAAAACTTAAGCTCCTTGATAAATGAGGAAGAACGAAGAGAAGCAATAGAAAAGGGACACACAGACAGTTCAAGCTTTCACCTAGTTATCTCACTGTCTTGATGATTATACTTAAACTAGTACAGCTCAATTTCTGCAATTGCTACTTGTGCACAATATTTTGCATGTTGTGTGAATGCTTCTTCTGCCCATTGTTTTCTCTCTCTCTGCATATACACTATTTAAAGTTTTAACTAAATTTGTTTACTCTATTACTTTCTAATTGCTCGTCTTTTTTAGTACAAGCTCTATGAAAGAAGTGACCATGTCTCTTTTTTTTCATGGCTGTAACTCTTTTGCTTACTAATATATACCAAGTGTCCAACATTTCACAGCACCAAGTACATACTTACTAGATGAATTTCTCTTTCAAATATTAAGTACTACAAGAGAAAGTAAATACATAGCATGAAACCAATTGTATTCTGGGCTACCCAACTTCCTTTTTTCCCCTTTGCAGTACAGACAGAAAATAAAGTTATAAAGCAGACTGAAATAAAACAAATGAGGCTGTACAAGCCTGGATGTAATCATCCCAGGGGTACCTCAGATCCCCAGTACTGCCTGCCAGCCCTGAAAACTGAAACCAACAATACCTCAACATGTATGTGATACAACAAAGTGGAATGAAATACACTCAGGAGGTTCTGCAGTTTTCAGACAGTTTCTTCTGTATCTTTTTTACTAGGATTCCAGTGAATGCACCAAACAAAAAATTTGCCCTATAGAAATGGATCACCAGAGTTGGTCCTCACACACTCCTAAGAGCAGATATGTGCCTTGTTAAATATGAACTATTAATTCAGGGAACAAGTGATTTATCATAAGTTGAAGCTTAACAACATGAAAGCTATAAAATTATATCACCACTCACCTTGGAGAGCAAAAAGAGAGGTTGCATCTGTTGCTGTCTCAGATGGGGCTTGTGTTATTGGCCTTAAGTATGATCTATAACCTTTTAGAATAGAGGCCATGAAAAACAAGAATGCCTCCTGGATTTCCAAATCTATCATGTGCAGCCTTTTTCCAGAATTAAAATCATAATCGTTCATTGCTAAGTCCATTAGTCCATCATCTCTTGGTCTCTGCTGCACTGTGGAGAAATACAGGGTTGGAATTTTGAAGTCTATGAAAAATAAGGCTCACATTGATTTTAATGCAGATTTATCTGTTTTCAAAAGTGGTCATATAACCACAACTCTTTATTTACACCACTTCATTGCAGGTAAACCTCAAGAAAACCTCCTCTATCATTTTTAGGCTCTGTTGAGCATATTTTACCTAAGTTACACATAAAATTACTCCTGCAAGTCTATCATCAGAGTAAGTTCATGCTCTAACATAACTATGTATGTTTGTGTGTGTATGTATGTGTATACACATACTAGTAAGGAAAGTTCTTAATAACCATTACACTGGATACATATAATGCACAGTCCTTTTCCACCCCTTTCTTCATAAAATACAAGTGCCTTCAGGATAAAAACAGAAGGATTTATAAAAACAAAAAACCTCTTCCTAGGCAACTCAATGATAAAGCCAATTGGTGGTAAGGAGTAAGTTTATGTTAGAGAAGCCTGGTTGAATCCCTTCTCTAACTTCTGACTAAGGTCAAGTGAAGAAGGCTAATAGACATCAGAGCTCCTTTCAATAACAGGAGAAGATGAGAGGGCACACTGAGGAGAAAGGGTGGAGAAGGGCTTTACCATGTCTGAGGCACTCATGCCAATGATGCATGCCCTGATTTTACAAGAAGACTCCTGGACAAAACTAAAATCAGGGACCATTTGACAATGTAAGGATAATTTTTAAAAAGATTATTTATTTTACTCTGTGTATGTCTTGCCTGCACGTATGTATGTGTGCCAGATCTGTTGACTGTCCCAGAACTAGGGTTACAGACAGTGTGAGCCACAATACGGGTGATGGGAATCAAATCTGGGTCTTCTGCAAGGGCAGTATTATGAAAATAATAGAATTGAAGAACTGTTTTAGAGAAGAGGAGATAGAAAAGACTTGAAACTATCTGCCTCTGATTTGGAATTGAATCCTCTTGCTAAAAAGAAAATAATTTACAAAACAGGCAAAACTTGGGCTGGAGAAGGCCTGGTGAGTGTGTTATAGAATATTATATGTTTTATAGCATTTTATGGTGTGTTACTTTTGTTTATGTTGCATCTGTTTAACTCTGTGATTCTGTGTTACTGTGCCTAAAACATCTGATGATCTAATAAAGAGTTAAATGGCCAACAGCAAGGCAGGAGAAAGGATAAGTGGGGCTGACAGGCAGAGAGAATTAATAGAAGGAGAAACCTGAGCCGGGCGGTGGTGGCGCACGCCTTTAATCCCAGCACTCGGGAGGCAGAGCCAGGCGGATCTCTGTGAGTTCGAGGCCAGCTTGGGCTACCAAGTGAGTTCCAGGAAAGGCGCAAAGCTACACAGAGAAACCCTGTCTCGAAAAACCATAAAAAAAAAAAAAAAAGAAGGAGAAACCTGGAAGGAGAGGAAGAAGTAGCCAGAGAAGGAGGAGGACATCAGAGGCCAGCCACCCAGCTACACAGCCAGCCATGGAGTAAGAGTGAGATATACAGAAACAGAGAAAGGTAAAAACCCAGAGGCAAAAGGTAGACAGGCTAATTTAAGAAAAGCTGGCTAGAAACAAGCCAAGCTAATGCCAGGCATTTATAATTAAGGATAAGCCTCTGTGTGTGATTTATTGGGGAACTGGGTGGCAGGCCCCTAAAAGAACAAGAGTCAAAGAGCTATGAGTAAAAAAACCAACAACATGGGTGAGTGTTTATTGTACACACATGAGGACCTATACTTGGATCCCACCCACATAAAAGCCAGGCATAGTGGTATGCATCTGTATCAGTGCTGGAGGAAAAGGGAAGGACACATGAAGAGCTCAGGGTTTCAAAGCCAGGCTAGCCAAAATGGCAAATGCCAGGTTCACTGAGAGAATTTATCTCAAAAAGTAAGGTGGACAACGAGAAAGGAAAACTTTCACATGTATATACCAGGTGAGTGCATTTATATACACACCAAAACCAAATAAAACATGGTAAAACTTGATCGTGGTCTAGAGATTAGGGTGTTCAATGTTACTTTCCTGACTTCCATAACTGTGTTGTAGTGCTGTAAAAGAATGCCCTGTTGGTAAGAAATGCATTCCATTTAGATGTGATAGGGCTCCTATTCTCAAGGGTCAAGACAAAAGTTCCTAACTGGTTCAAAAGTTAAAGACCTTTTAAGATATAAGGAACAGAATTAATCATCCAAATGATCAGTATTACTTAAGCACCTATAGCTTGAAGCTTTCAGATTAGTTCATAGGACAGGGGAAGAGGTTCAGTGGGCGAAAGCCCTTGGAATGCAAGACGTAGGAGCCTGCATCAGTGATCCCAGTGCTCCTACCACTGCAGGCAGAAAAAGGAGGACCTGGAGCATGCAGGGCAGTGGCAATCAAAAAGAGAGGACCTGGCTCAAACAGGGTGGAAAGTAAAGACTAATTCCTGAAAGTTGCCCTTTAACCTCCACATACATGGCCAGAGCATGTGTGCAACTGGCACACATACACATCATCCACATACACTATACATAAGCACATATACACACAAAACTTAAAAGGATAAACTGGAGAATAATCAAGGAATACACATGACACCAACCTCTGGCCTCCATGTGTACACACACATATTTTTTTTTTGTTTTTGTTTTTCGAGACAGGGTTTCTCTGTGTAGCTTTGCGCCTTTCCTGGAACTCACTTTGGAGACCAGGCTGGCCTCGAACTCACAGAGATCCGCCTGGCTCTGCCTCCTGAGTGCTGGGATTAAAGGCGTGCGCCACCACCGCCCGGCCACATATTTTTTAAAAAGCAGAAATCTTGTCCTTGGTATCCACAGCTATCTCTTCTGCATTCTGTCCTTCACTAGAGCTGAACAGACTACTTGAGTTTAGTGATTTACATACTGCTACAATAGCTGTTGGACTTTGCATTTTCCCAAAGGAGTAAGAGCACTTCCAGAAAGCAAACTATTTAGATAACAAAAAATATGCAAATAATTTGTCTAGTCCATATGATTAAATCTTGCTCTATTTTATAGCATAAAAAAAACAATACTTTTGAGCTACCCTGGAATTGGCTAGTTGCTTTTAAATTCACTTTATCAACATTTTCTTTTTCTATTCTATTTCAAACTATAGTCTAAGTATCTTGAACCTTTACAGGTACAGGCTATTTTCTATGTTTACATTTCACAACAAATACATGAGACCCATGTATGTTGCCACATCACCATTGGCCATATTTCATAAAATAAGCATTAAACTACAGACACTGAATGGACCATTGTTACAATACTGAGAGAATTCAAGAAACAAAAGCTTAATTCTTATCAGTAATTCTGGATCACTGTCAAGATATGTTCTTACATAAGCTTTTTTTCCTAAAACATTTCACATCCTAAAATCAATTCTCATTTTGGTTAATTTCTTTTTTTTAGCAAATGACAGATAGTTTCAAGATAGACATTAGGTGAAGGGGTCAAGAGCTGACTGACTTCACTGACATCAGCATTTTCTAATGTACTTTAAATCATTTGTCTTAGATTTCTGGAGCTTTCTGTTTTATATATGAAGAAAACATACCAGTGGCAAGCTTATTTCTTCGTCATTTCAGTAATGGCAAAATTCAAGAAAATAACCACTTTAATGCCCTTTTGAATTTTACTATCCTAAGATGGCCTTATGAAAACCTAAAAGATAGCCAGGCAGAGGAGCACACACCTTTAATCCCAGCACTCGGGAGGCAGAGCCAGGCGGATCTCTGTGAGTTCGAGGCCAGCTTGGGCTACCAAGTGAGTTCCAGGAAAGGCGCAAAGCTACACAGAGAAACCCTGTCTCGAAAAACCATAAAAAAAAAAAAAAAAGAAGGAGAAACCTGGAAGGAGAGGAAGAAGTAGCCAGAGAAGGAGGAGGACATCAGAGGCCAGCCACCCAGCTACACAGCCAGCCATGGAGTAAGAGTGAGATATACAGAAACAGAGAAAGGTAAAAACCCAGAGGCAAAAGGTAGACAGGCTAATTTAAGAAAAGCTGGCTAGAAACAAGCCAAGCTAATGCCAGGCATTTATAATTAAGGATAAGCCTCTGTGTGTGATTTATTGGGGAACTGGGTGGCAGGCCCCTAAAAGAACAAGAGTCAAAGAGCTATGAGTAAAAAAACCAACAACATGGGTGAGTGTTTATTGTACACACATGAGGACCTATACTTGGATCCCACCCACATAAAAGCCAGGCATAGTGGTATGCATCTGTATCAGTGCTGGAGGAAAAGGGAAGGACACATGAAGAGCTCAGGGTTTCAAAGCCAGGCTAGCCAAAATGGCAAATGCCAGGTTCACTGAGAGAATTTATCTCAAAAAGTAAGGTGGACAACGAGAAAGGAAAACTTTCACATGTATATACCAGGTGAGTGCATTTATATACACACCAAAACCAAATAAAACATGGTAAAACTTGATCGTGGTCTAGAGATTAGGGTGTTCAATGTTACTTTCCTGACTTCCATAACTGTGTTGTAGTGCTGTAAAAGAATGCCCTGTTGGTAAGAAATGCATTCCATTTAGATGTGATAGGGCTCCTATTCTCAAGGGTCAAGACAAAAGTTCCTAACTGGTTCAAAAGTTAAAGACCTTTTAAGATATAAGGAACAGAATTAATCATCCAAATGATCAGTATTACTTAAGCACCTATAGCTTGAAGCTTTCAGATTAGTTCATAGGACAGGGGAAGAGGTTCAGTGGGCGAAAGCCCTTGGAATGCAAGACGTAGGAGCCTGCATCAGTGATCCCAGTGCTCCTACCACTGCAGGCAGAAAAAGGAGGACCTGGAGCATGCAGGGCAGTGGCAATCAAAAAGAGAGGACCTGGCTCAAACAGGGTGGAAAGTAAAGACTAATTCCTGAAAGTTGCCCTTTAACCTCCACATACATGGCCAGAGCATGTGTGCAACTGGCACACATACACATCATCCACATACACTATACATAAGCACATATACACACAAAACTTAAAAGGATAAACTGGAGAATAATCAAGGAATACACATGACACCAACCTCTGGCCTCCATGTGTACACACACATATTTTTTTTTTGTTTTTGTTTTTCGAGACAGGGTTTCTCTGTGTAGCTTTGCGCCTTTCCTGGAACTCACTTTGGAGACCAGGCTGGCCTCGAACTCACAGAGATCCGCCTGGCTCTGCCTCCTGAGTGCTGGGATTAAAGGCGTGCGCCACCACCGCCCGGCCACATATTTTTTAAAAAGCAGAAATCTTGTCCTTGGTATCCACAGCTATCTCTTCTGCATTCTGTCCTTCACTAGAGCTGAACAGACTACTTGAGTTTAGTGATTTACATACTGCTACAATAGCTGTTGGACTTTGCATTTTCCCAAAGGAGTAAGAGCACTTCCAGAAAGCAAACTATTTAGATAACAAAAAATATGCAAATAATTTGTCTAGTCCATATGATTAAATCTTGCTCTATTTTATAGCATAAAAAAAACAATACTTTTGAGCTACCCTGGAATTGGCTAGTTGCTTTTAAATTCACTTTATCAACATTTTCTTTTTCTATTCTATTTCAAACTATAGTCTAAGTATCTTGAACCTTTACAGGTACAGGCTATTTTCTATGTTTACATTTCACAACAAATACATGAGACCCATGTATGTTGCCACATCACCATTGGCCATATTTCATAAAATAAGCATTAAACTACAGACACTGAATGGACCATTGTTACAATACTGAGAGAATTCAAGAAACAAAAGCTTAATTCTTATCAGTAATTCTGGATCACTGTCAAGATATGTTCTTACATAAGCTTTTTTTCCTAAAACATTTCACATCCTAAAATCAATTCTCATTTTGGTTAATTTCTTTTTTTTAGCAAATGACAGATAGTTTCAAGATAGACATTAGGTGAAGGGGTCAAGAGCTGACTGACTTCACTGACATCAGCATTTTCTAATGTACTTTAAATCATTTGTCTTAGATTTCTGGAGCTTTCTGTTTTATATATGAAGAAAACATACCAGTGGCAAGCTTATTTCTTCGTCATTTCAGTAATGGCAAAATTCAAGAAAATAACCACTTTAATGCCCTTTTGAATTTTACTATCCTAAGATGGCCTTATGAAAACCTAAAAGATAGCCAGGCAGAGGAGCACACACCTTTAATCCCAGCACTCGGGAGGCAGAGGCAGGAGGATCTCTGTGAGTTTGAGGTCAGCCTGGTCTACAGAGCAAGTTCCAGGACAGGCACCAAAGCTACAAAGAGAGACCCTGTCTCAAAAAAAAAAAAAAAAAAAAAAAAAAAAAAAAAGAAAAGAAAACCTAAAAGTTATAAAATGCTTATTTATAAGTCACTCATTTGGCTTCTAACAAATTTTGCTTTAATGTTTATTTGCCTTAAAGACTGTAAACACTCTCTTTTCTTTTTTGAGACAGGGTCTTACTACATAGCCCTGGCTGGAACTCACTGTGTAGACCAGGCTGGCCTGGAACTGCCTGGCTCTGCCTCCAAGTGCTAAGATTAGGTGTCACCAGTCCCAGTGACACATTTTCTTTAACTTTTTTCCTTCCTTCCTTCCCTCCCTCCCTCCCTCCCTCTCTCTCGTTAGTTAGTTAGTTAGTTAGTTAGTTAGTTAGTTAGTTAGTTAGTTTTTCCAGACAGGGTTTCTCTGTGTCAGTTTGGTGCCTGTCCTGGATCTCGCTCTGTAGACCAGTCTGGCCTCGAACTCACAGAGATCCACCTGCCTCTGCCTCCTGAGTGCTGGGATTACAGGCGTGTGCCATAGCTGTCTGGCTCTTTAACTTTTTAGAGACAGGGTCTTGCTGTGTAGTCCTGACTGGCCTGGAACTCGTGTACAAAGGTGGCCTTGACCTTGCAGCAACCTTGCTGCCTCTGCCTCCAGAGTGCTGCTGGGGTTGCAGGCCTCTGTCAACATGTTCAATACATCAGACTAAATTAGGTTTTTTTGTTTGTTTGTTTTGTTTTTAAGATAGGGTCTTAACCAGTAGCTTGGCAGGCCTGAAACTTATTATGTAGCTCAGGCTGGCTTTGAATTTTTGGTGATTATCCTACCTCAGTTTCCCAAGTGCTGTGATTATGTGATTACATGTGTAAGTCATAATATCCAGCTACAACTTTCTTTAAAATAAAATGAGTATCAGAGCCGGGCGGTGGTGGCGCACGCCTTTAATCCCAGCACTCGGGAGGCAGAGCCAGGCGGATCTCTGTGAGTTCGAGGCCAGCCTGGGCTACCAAGTGAGTTCCAGGAGAGGCGCAAAGCTACACAGAGAAACCCTGTCTCGAAAAACCAAAAAAAAAAAAAAAAAAAAAAAAAAAAAAATGAGTATCAGTTAAAGTATTATACTTACTTTAATAGCATAGTTATAAAAACTGAAATTTATTCAGAGCAGATGGGCCCTGAGCAAGAATGACATGCAAACATTTCCTATTTTCCTTATTTCCTATATTTCCTTAGCTAAAAAAAGGAAAATAATTCAGAAGTAGTCAGTCATTTTCTCAGCTGAAGTTACATCCCTTAATGAGATTATCCACTTACATTTTGCCAATTGCTGGTGCAAATTATTCAGTGTAGTCATCAGATTTTTACATGGCTTCTTTGGAAGAATCTTCCAGGCTACATTCTTTCTGTCTCCAGTTCTGAGATTAAATGACAACACCAATACATTTGTTACATGGACCTTCGGAGGGGGTATATTCCTGCCATATTTATACATGAAGGGAAACAGTCATTGAACAAAAAAAAAAAAAAAAAAAAAGGAACACATTCAGAATAGCCAGGTTAATGAAGAAATCTGACAGAGGCAAATTGGGATAGTTAGTGACTGTATAAAATTAATTTGCATGAAGGTGGAATGCTCCACTTAATGTATTTCAGAATTTACAGTTATATCTGAACAGAATCTATTACATTTCCTGAGGACTATGCTCATCACAGAGGCATTAGGAGGTGATTCAGACTCTTCTCTTTCATGTGTGAGGGCTTAGACACTCAAACAGCAGGAAAATCTAACTGTTAACAGTTTTTCCTAATAGAAGAAAAAGTATTACTGAAAACTTTCAATGAACCTATGATCTACAGACCTTATTAAAAAATACTTTGTTATATGCTTAGTATAAGTAAAAATGATCTGTTTTTCAGAAAAGAAATATTCTAAAATATTAAAGTTCTTGAGCAAAGTAAAACATTACAAAACATTTTATAACTTTAAAAGAGGTTATCTGCTATAAACTAATATCTCTGTCTGTAGGAGGAGTCTACAATCTCCTTTATTATAACCATTACAACACAGGTGGTATCTTGCTATAGGCCAGGAGACATAAGGAACCAAAGCTTTTGAACTTAACTATAGCTTTGTTTAGTCTAGATCTTATTTATTCAATCTTTTTTTCATTTAAAAAGTAATGAATACTCACTTTGAAAATTGAAAAATAAAGAGAAAAAGAGAAGAAAAGCAAACCCATCAAGTTCTATGTACCAAGGCACAATTCAGTACAAGTAGGTAGTAGACTTTCCCAAGCTAGTGTTTTAGTTTTTAAATGTCCCCTAAACTTCTCATAGAACAAATACCATTTTGAAAAATAAGCAAAAAGAATAGACAAGAAAACTTAAACTTATAAAAATTAATAACCGTGGAATTTATCTTCCTTTCCACAAACAAGAATAAAAATAAAGGCAGAGTAGAGTAATATTGCAGATGTTCTGCTGTAAAAGAACAGTTTTTACATTTATAAAGTGACCAAGAGCAGGGTACAGGAAGACTACAATGTAGAAACTTTTTTTTTTTTTTTTTTGGTTTTTCGAGACAGGGTTTCTCTGTGTAGTTTTGGTGTCTGTCCTGGATCTCGCTCTGTAGACCAGGCTGGCCTTGAACTCACAGAGATCAGCCTCCTGAGTGCTGGGATTAAAGGCATGTACCACCACCGCCTGGCATAGAAGCTTTTTATATCACTATCTTGATAAAATATTGCCAAATAGCATCCCTCTACGGAATCATGCACACCTGTTTTAGACTGGAGTTTGAGGAACTCGGAGAAAGGAGTACATTTACTTGTTTGCCTTTTTGCTACCAATCTATAGAAGAAGGCATTCAAGATAATGTTTTTGGCATAGATGGGTAGAAAAATATCTAATTGTCATTTACTCTCCTAATTTCCTCCTCTTGCCCTGGATATTGTTTCTGGGAAATGTGGCCAAGCAGGGTAGTTTTACCTAGCTTTTCTCTGCGTTTTTATCTGATAGCCTTCTGCATTTTTACTCATGGTGTCTCCCATTAACAAGATTACTATTACACAAACATCACCTCATTACTGGTGGCAGAAGTCTTAGTGTCACGGTGTGAAATCAACAGTTTAAAAACAAAGTGCTGACAGCGTAAGTGATATATCCCTTTAGCTGCTTAAAAACTAAACTTGTGCTTCCTTATCTGTCAGAGGAATTGTGAGATTCCTCATAGAGTACACAGACTACAGTACACAGACAGTCACTTAGTCTATACATGCAACTTTTTGCAAAATTACATTAGAAATATTAAGTTATTACCCCTTCTTCAGGAATTTCTTGATACTCAGAACTTAATCTGTATTGTATGTACCTGGAATAGTAAAAGGAAACTAAAAATCCTCTACTTGGAATTTGCTTTTCTTTCACATTTCAGGTTGGAATTTCAGAACTCTGGATGAAGGAAAGCAGAGGGCTTTAGTTCACTTGTAGGGTCTTCCCAGCTCGGAAGGGTGGTACTAGTCAAGAAAGAACTGAGTGCAAACAACTCATATCATTTTGACTCTTTGATTAATTAATAATCAAAGTAGAAAGAAAATAGCAAGTAAGACTATTATTGTTGTTGTTGAGACAGGATCTCACTAAGTAGCCCTGGCTGTCCTGGAACTCTCTATGTAGACCAGGCTGGCCTTGAACTCACAGAGATCTGCCTGCCTTTGCCTCCCAAGTGCAGGGATTAAAAGTATGTGCAAGAAAAGATTAATTAATTAATTAATTAAGCAAATTACAAGAGGTAAAATTTGCATATCATAATAAACACAGTGTAAACTTTCTTATCAGGTTTATAAATTATCATCTCATCTAACATTTAACAAGTGAAAAAGTAAAGTATGAGTTTACTGATTCAAAGAATGAAACATTTCTGCTAAGGAACACAGTGTTGCTCATAAAAAAAACTTTGCTTTTAGTAATCCCATATTAAAAAGGCTTTTATGTATAAAATATGTCCCATATTTTATTGGTTTATATTTTTTATGAATAAAAGCTGTTTGTGCATATACTTCCAAACGATTTTTTCCCCCAACTTTTCTAATGGTTTAAGCAACTGAGGTTTTGATACATAGCAAAGATGGAGAGTCAATCTAAAATTCTGGAATTAAACCGAAAGGCTTTACAGTACAATTCTATTATTAAACATGGAAAGACTGGGAGTGTGCCGTCGTAGTGACAGCACATGCTCAGCCTGCATGAGCTCTGGTTTCATTCCCCAACACCAGTAAGTGAACAGAGGAAGCCTATTTCATATCTCCTTACTAAGTACAAACTAAACCAGCTTTTGTGATTCACCAATGGACTAAGTAATGGTTACTTCAACCAGACCCGCAGACGCCATCTTGTTGCGTCCATTTCTTCCTTCCTTCCTGGCTGATGGAAAACTAATCTGAAAATGTGGACACAAAGAAATTATGAAACATTTTTAAAGCTACTTTCTTAGGATGCAAAGAGGCAAAATTATGTATAAATTTATAGATTATTTTAAATTTCCAATATACTAATTTTGCTTTGAGGTACTACTATTCTGAAAGTGTTAGACTAGAAATAATATTGAAGTATCAATACAGGAACAGTGTTTTAATTCAATTGTGATTCTCCCATACTCATGTGGCAAAGAAAGAAACGTTTAAAAAATTGTGTGGTCCCTGGCACCATTTTGATTAGCTTTTCAATCATCGTCTGAAAAGATTTATTTTTATTTTGTATGTATGTGTGCAATGTTCTGTGCAGTGCCCAGAGAGGCCAGAAGAGGGCAGCAGATCCCCTGGACCTGGAGTTATAGACAGGTGTTAGCAGCCATATAGGTGCTGGGAACCGAATCCACGTCCTCTGCAGAGTAGCACGTGCTCTTAACCACTGAGCCTTCGCTCCAGCTCCCAACTTCTTCTATTTCTGCCGTAATTCCTCTTGTGTTAAGTTTTTGTGTGTGTGCGCTAAGTTTTTAAGCATAAGATTATGTTTCTTAAATATTTAAAGCCTGAGGATTAAAAGTATATTTTCTTTCCAATCAAATCATCTGTAAATCCTAAATATACTCTCCTGAAGCATAGCAAGAGCTGACAAGGAGATGGTAATAACTCCAAATACAAAAAATAATATATCTCAAAAGAACACTACTCAGCAATTATAAAGTACAAATTCACACATAGAGATGATGGAGTTATAAAGCCTCAGGTATAAAATTTAAAGTATACTTACTGAGAAATGGTGTTGGTATCTAGGTCAACACAACTGACATCTGGTGGAGGGTCATAAAGATCAAAGTATCTGGAGTCAATCCCGACTATGAACGGACATGGTGCACTGAGGACATCTGCTAGAGCCAGTGGGCAGAGAGGAACATATGGGCATGGCCAGTGGAAAGGGAAAATCATCTTGGATAAACAGAGGATGGGAGAATATTAAGCGTTTTTGACATTGAAGCATAACTTATCAGCACATACACAAAATTATCTTTTAGATTATTACCTAAAGTTTAATGTTTGATAATGAATTAAATAATTGTAACTAAAATTAAAAGTCAGGAAATTAAAACTGCTGCAACAATGTAAAAATCCATTACTTTCTGAAAATGTAGTTAAACCTAAAATGATTCTAAATTACATGAATAAATTAAGTTTCAACTGAACGGATACTTACAGACACTAATGCTTCTGTCACACTAGTCAGCACAGAAGGCCTGAGGGAATGGATGAGGATTTTATGTTCTGTAACAGCAAACACCAGTAGTGTCACAGCATTTTCAGGGCCAAGATTCTGAAGTAGTGTTGAAAACTTTCCACCACTGTCAATCCAAGCAAAAATACACAATAAAAACAAAAACAAAAAACTAAACCCAAATATAACAACAAAAACTATTTAAACTCCTAATTATCTAGAATAGCAGGGCTGTGTATATTTAACTTTAAATGTAATTACTGTTCATGGGCAGGAAAAACACAGTATCACAAACAATATGAAAAAATGTAATTGTATGAGTTTTCAAAGTCATGAACTTTTCAGCGCTGCATTCAATACGGAAAATGAGAAGTCTTCTGCTTGTCGTATTTATTTCCTTGTTTCTTTTGCTGTTGTTGTTGGGACAGGGTCTGACTATGTAGTCCAGGCTGGTCTCCAATTAGAGATCTTTTTGTCTTGGCCTCCTAAGTGCTAGGATCACAGGTATTCACTAATACACCTGCGAATTTTGCTTCATTTTACGTAAAAAGATCTGCCACGTGCATAATGTCCTCTCAAAAGAATAAAATTAGTTAAAAGAATGCTTGGTTAGAAGACAGTCCTTTAATGGAAGGATTTTTTGCTTGTTTCTTTTGAATAAGGGCCTCACCATATGGCCTTGACTGTGCTGGAGCTCACTACGTAGACCAGGCTGGTCTTGAACTCATAGACATTCAAGGGTGTCTACCTCACCCTGCCAAGTCCTGGGATTTTTTTTAAAGGTGTGCATCACATTGCATGACTTTAATGGTAGGTTTTTATTTTGGTTCTTTCACTGTGATTATCAGGATCATGTCTTTGCAGGACTGTCTTCTCCAAGGAAATACAAATATTAAAATCTGGTTTATAAACAGAAACTCCTCATTATTATAATGATAATAGCACTAGGAAATCAAGATCTACAAAATGGTGAGATACATCTACAAAGCAAATTAATAAAACAATAAACCTAGATGTTTTATATAGGAAGAAAATAGTGGACTAAGTAATATAGTAACCAACGAACATTTTGCCTATATAATGCTACAGAACTGGTTTCACTGGGTTAATTTTTTATGATGGAGCAAAACTAATAATAAGGTTTTTTTCTGAAAAATTAAAACATAACCACAAAAAAACTTGTCTATATTCAAAGCAAAGTTATTCACAGTAGCCAAAATATAGAAGTTTCCTAATAGACATATAAATAAAATACAGTATATTCATTTAATGAAATATTAGTTGGAATAAAAGGAATGAAGTAGCAAAATATGCTATAACATGAATGATCCTAGAAACATGTTCAGTGGAGGAAGTCAGAAATAAAAAGGCTAAATATAGTATCCTTTTATTTATATTAAATGTATAAGAGACAAATCTATAGAACAGAAAAGTAGATTAAGAGGTGCCTATGCTGTGTGTGCATGTGGGGTTATGCCTGTTTGTGCATGTGCACATGTGTGTACTTGTGTCTGCATTCCCAAGTGCAAGTGTTTGAGCACATATGTGTAGGGACAGATAGAGTGAAGATTAACAGCAAAGAACATAGGGCTGGGGATTTTTGTTGTTGTTGTTTGATTTTTTTTTGAGACAGGGTTTCTCTGTGTAGTTTTGGTGCCTGTCCTGGATCTTGCTCTGTAGACCAGACTGGCCTCGAACTCACAGAGATCCGCCTGGCTCTGCCTCCCAAGTGCTGGGATTAAAGGCATGCACCACCACCTCCTGGCCATAGGGCTGGTTTTATAGGATAAGTAATGTGTTCTAAATTTTATTACAATAATAACTGCAGAATTCTATGAATAAAATCATTGACTTATACTTGGGTGAATTTTGTAATGTGGAAATTTGATCTGGCCAGAGCTGTTACCTCAATGAAGTCCTTTTGGCAATTTGAATCATTTGTAATCAGTGTGTTCATTTCATTTTCAGCTCAGGTAAGAGCTCGGAAAACACTCATCACTCTGGGCTAAGGGCTAATGATGAAATCATCTGTAATTCTTACAAAATTAGTGTAAAAGATGGCAGCTGGTCTCCCTAAGGTATGTGCAATATAATAGTTTAATTATACCATAACTATTTCTGACAGAAAAATCACACAGCTAATTAAATTTCAAGAAATGATACTGTAGGGAAATCATATTTTATAACTTCTCTGAACTTTTAGAATGATGAAATATGTTCTGTTTAAAAATCAGTTTTTATTTTGGATTAAATTTAAAATTGTATTTGGTTGGGTGGTGGCGGCACATGCCTTTAATCCCAGCCCTTGGGAAGCAGGGACAGGCAAATCTCTGAGTTTGAGACCAGTCTGGTTACAGAGTGAATTCCAGGACAGTCAAGGCTACACAGAGAAACCCTGTCTCAAAAAAAAATGTATTTGTATTTTAGAGAACAATTAAAGATATATTGGATGTATTTTAGAGGACAATTAAAGCTAAAAAAATGAATTACCTTCATAATTTACATATATTCCCAATTATGTAACAATAAGTATTGATAATAATAATGATGATACACATAAACACCAAACACTGTTGTAAAAGTTTTTCTTTCTTTTGCAAACTATAAACCCAGTATTATGCAAAAAGAATCAGCTAAGAAACAGTTACATGAAAAGTACTTCCACCAATATTTTAGCTAGGAAAGATAATATACATATACATTAGTTAAATTCACACTATATTTAGAGAAATAATTAGGGCTGGAGAGATGGCTGAGTGGTTAAGAGTGCCTGTTGCTCTTCCTGAGGACCTGAGTTCAGTTCCTAGTGTCCATGTTGGGAAGCTCACAACAGCCTGTAACTCACTTCTAAGAAAACCAACACCCTCTTTTGGACTCTGTTGCAGAGATGTGGGACTGTGTACACATAGATTTAGAGAAACAAACAGAAATGAAGCTTTACTTGCCTTAGCGGAAGAGGTGAAGAAACAGGCTGACTGAGAATCAAATTATCATGTGGTGATAACTGGAAGATTTAAAACAAAGCATTTGAAGTATAAAGATGAACTCTGAAACATCATGCTCTGGCAATAGACATCAATTAATGATGCTACCTATGAAGATTGCCAGATCACCAGCATAAGACCAGCATAAGACTTCTGGCCCCTTCCAACAACTTCTTTTCTGAATCCTATTTCTTATGTCTTCAACTTTTCTCCAATACTATTTTAACAAATTTGTGTTAATAGGTTAAATTATTTAATCAATACCATACATTTAGGGTCAGTAAATTAATGGCCTGTGATTTTTTTCTCATACTCTCTAGCTAATTTTGTTCTGTAATAGCAAGCTGAGCCCCTGTAACAGAACAGATAACATGCAAAGATTAAATATTGAGATAAGATCCATAACAGGAAACATTTGCCAGCTTCAGCTACAAAACAAAATTCCATATGTATTTAGGTGGAGTGTGCAATATAGCACTCTGGCACTAAGTATCATGAAGTAATAACATGGATGTGTAGACTGACTGTCAAAGTCTTCAAAAAGTATGTTCTAGAAATTTTATCTGTATCAATATAATAATGTAATTAATTTTATCTGCATTTTCAAATTTTGGCACATTTTTAATGATTTCTAACACTAATAATACCTTCAGGGCTGCAGTAACCAGTAACACACATGGTGACAACACATGAAAGTATTTCCTTTGTATGAATCATTCCATAGATTATGATTAAATAAATAGGCAATTTAAATTATCAAGATCCCAAACAAGATATAAACAAAAAAGGAGAGATGCATTCAACTGTGAAAACGTTTATAGTCATTTAAATTTCCCTGCTGCATTAAAGACACTGCATTTCCTCCCTCCTGCAATATATAAACATACAACTAGTCCTGATAACTATTCGAATACATTTAACCAACTATATGATCATCAAGGGCACAAACTTTCCAATATTTAGAAACAATTTGCATACTTTTATTTTTTTCCTGAGACAGACTCCCTATGTAGACAAGGCTGGCCTGGAAGTGACTCTCTAGTCCAGACTGAAATCAAACTGTCAGCCCTCCTGCCTCTACCTCCCAAGTGTTGGGATAGTATGAGTGCACCAAAAGTTCCCTTCCGTGGATAGAGTTAATAAATATCAGGGCCTGAATCCCAACATGCAAGAACATCTGGTTTTCCCAGGGCTCATTCTACTGTCCACATTCACTTGTTAGTCTTGTTACATGCTGGAGAACCCTCATATGGCCCTCATATGGAAAGAACCTTACCTGAACTAAAATCCGTGGCCTCTGAGGAGATGGAAAAGGAACTTTATGCATAAAATGAGAAATATGCCTTAAAACAAAAACAGAAACTCAATTAATTCCAAAATGAATTATCATTTGCTGCAAAGGTTAACATGCCATCACAAGTTCAAGCTCATTAAGGCCCTGCGCACTTAAACTCCAAACCCCCTAGTGCTGTGAAAACAAATTAACAACAAAAAGTTGTTTGTGTCAGTAGAGGTGCCTCTGCCTAAATCCAATAACCTTACACGTTTGGTTGTGAGCCAGGCCTTTAATGGCTAAGCCGCCTCTCCAGCCCAAATAACTTGATGTTAATAGCTGATCATATTCAACCATGTTTGTATTTGCAGTTGCCTCAAAACCATGTTTTCTTTTCCCTAAGCAGGTAGTAATCAACATTACTAAAGAAGCTAATTATTACATTGTAATGTATTTTTTATTAATCACTCATGATTTGTGAAGTAACTATTTAAGGTGCTAAAAAAAATGAATGAGTTTAAATGCTTGATAAGATGAAGTGGTGCAGAGCTGTAGTCCCAGCTACTTGGAAGGCTGAGGATCACTTGAGACCAGGAGTTCAACGCAGCCTGGGCAACAAACACAGACTTCCCCATCTCAACAAGCTTTCCATTTAGTAATGGATAAAAACTAGATCAATGAGATGGTTTTGTTTTGTTTTTTGTTTGTTTGTTGTGAGAGAACAAATCCAAAACCTTGCACATACCAGCAAGTATTCTCCCACTCAACTACATCACTTGGGTTTGGAGGATAATATCTTGCTATACAGGCCAGGCTGGCCTTGAACTTGTAATCCCCCTGTCTCTGCCTCCTGAGCACCAGGATTAAAGTCATGCACCAATCAATAAGTTTGATTTTGAACACTACAGGAGAAAAAAAAGGACAAAATATAAAAATATTTTATTCCTTTTATAAATAAGCTGTCTTCTTCTTGAATTATTTTTCTTCTAAACATTATTTCAAAATTATCTTATTTTTAGCAGTGAGATCATTACAACCAGACCGAGAACTGGATGAGTCATTTATAGACAATATAGATATGTTTTAACTATGTATTGTACAAAGACACTACCAAACATAACAGAAAATGTAAAGTGATGTAAAGCTTCTAGTCCCTATCATTACTTAAAATCTGGAATTAAAAAAAAGATTAGAGGAATAAGTACCAAAAGACACACATCTGCTTGATTATATGAAGCAGTCAGAAAAGCAGGACTTTTATATGATTTATGGAACCCTAAAAGTATCTAAGACCCATTCAGGGAGGATCCACAAAATCCAAACTCTTTTACGATAACAGTGAGACTCCATTTTCCTTTCTCACACATTTGGCAATAGCAATGATAGTGCAAAGTATTGTGAATGAAATGCTGGCACCCTACTGAAATCAAGGGAGGGGTAAACTAGTAGATGCTGTATTTTATTGCTTTACTATTAGAGACTTCATTTAAGAATGTCTCTGACTGGGGCTGGAGAGATGGCTCAGCAGTTAAGAGCTCTTGCTGTTCTTGTAGAAAACCTGGTTCAGTTCCCAACACCCACATGGTGATTTATAACCATCTACAACTCTAGTTCCTGGGGATATGGTACCCTATTCTGACCTCCAAGGGCACCCAGCACACATGTAGTACAGGGATATGGATGTAAGTAAAACACTCACACATATAAAATAAAAACAATAAATAAATATTGGAAAAGGATGTCTGACTTAATACACTTGAAATAGCAAATATTTGATTCTGGAACATACATTTAGAATATTCTATGATAAAGGGGTAAGTACTCATACAGCATTACTATACAAAAGCATGTGGCCATTTAATTTTACAAAAGCACTTAGAGGACTGAGTTATGAGTGAGTTGGTTATTTTTTTTTTCCCACACAGAATGACATTTTTTCTTGGAAGAGGGTGGGCTAGTAAAGCTTATCCAGTGTTGGGTATTCAACAGACATTTTCCACATAAAAATAATCAAAGTGCTATTACTTCAAGGAAAAAAACTAGGAATATTTGCTGTTAATAATTAAATCCAAACTTTTAAATGAAAAGAATTTGTCACCATAAACCTGAAAGCTTTCTAATACTCAAAACTTTTCTGAGAACTGGGAATGTAGCTAGGAGGAAGAACACATGCCTTGCATGTGTAAGGTCCTGGTTTGATCTCTAGCACCACAATAAACTTTATTAAAAAAACAAAAAACAAAAAACAAACAAAACACCTTTCTGGGCTAGTATGTAAAGACGCTTGCTGCTAAGCCTGATAAACTGAGTTGAATCTCTAGGACCCACAAGAAGGAAGGAAGAGAACAGACTCCTACAAGTCCTTTGACCTCCACATGCACATGGCAAAGACATGCCAATCTACAGTGATGTATTTACAGCTCCTGTGCATCATGTCTTACCGAATGAAGCACTGTAAAATTTTAGTGCTCTTAGTAAATCATTAAAATTACAGGACGAAAAATAGAATGTCTATCAAATTTCTCTTTTAAATTCATGATATCTAAACATAGGACTATTTTAAAGGTTCATAATACCTCAAATTACACATAAAAATTACAAACATAGTTGAAGAGTTTTAATATTTTCCACTTGGAGATGCGGCTCAATGACAAAGCTCTTACATGGCATGTGTAAGGCTCTGGGTGTGGTCTTGAGCACTTCAAGAAAACCTAGTTCCAGTATTCCACTAAATTAGCAGCTATAAATTTCGTAAGAGTAGTATATACATATCTCCAAATAACTCACTTTAAAATAAATTAAAACATTCACTGGCAGAAATAAAATTGCTTAAAATAACAAGACTGTAAAAATATGATAAAGTCTTACATAAATAACCAAACATTTTTCTCAAATAACTCTCAAGAAATAACAATTTCCATATGAAATTTATGCAATTACTAGTATAAACATACCACAGAAAGGGCTGACAAATTTTTTTGAACAAGGCCTCTCGACATATCCCTGGGTGTCCTGGAACTCACTATGTTGATCAAGCTGGCCTCAAACTCACAGAAAAGTGCCATCATGCCACCTTGGAGTGTCAAATTTTAAACCATGAGACCTCTAACTTACTTTTCAATTGGAAGGGCATGAGGTCCAGAGATGGAATAACGATACAGGAAAGTCAGAAACTTTCTGAATGCATCAAAAAAAGGCCAGTGAGAAAGAAGACAAATGCATTTGTTAGTGTGAATTGTTCTAGAACTATCAGACTTTCCATCCACCAGAGATGTTAAACCCAAAAGAAGCCTCTGTTTTTCTGTAAGACTCTCCTCAGAGTATGGTTCATAAAACTGAATAGCAGCACCATAGACCTGTAAAACAAGAAATATATTTAATAAATATACTTTGTATCATTTATTCAAAGCACATCATCAGTTGACTATTTAGTGGATGCTTTCTATGGGTAGGTAAGGTGCCAGGGACTAGGAACACAGTGGTAAAATCAATCCTGCTCTTCTTAAAAAAAAAAAAAAATGAGCCGGGCGGTGGTGGCGCACACCTTTAATCCCAGCACTCGGGAGGCAGAGGCTCTGTGAGTTCGAGGCCGGCCTGGTCTACAGAGTGAGTTCCAGGAAAGGCGCAAAACTACAGAGAAACCCTGTCTCAAAAAACCAAAAAAAAAAAAAAAAAAAAAATGACAGGGTCTCCTAGGCTGGCCTCAAACTTGCAATCTTCTGCTTCGGCTTCATGAGCGGTGGGTTTACAGGCCTGAGGCACCACCCCTGATGACTACTTTCTTGGTACACATGCTAACTATATAGTAATATTTTCATATATACTCATTATTGAAAATGGCTATTTTGATTAAACTATATTTTTAAAATAAAGAGTGAAAGCAACTGAGCCTTGATATGGTGACTAGTGCCTATAATCCCAGCACTCAGGAGGCAGAGGATCTAAGCAAGTTCAAGAGCAGCCGGTCTACATAGAAAGACGCTGTCTCACACCAACAACAGTGACAAAAGAAACAAAAGCAAAAATAACAAAGCAAATCTCCCAATATTTCTATAAGAAATGTTCGAAAGTATTACATAAGCAAGAGAGACAAATTTGAACTGTGAACAATTCACTGAATATTCCTACCCACAAAAGAAAATGCTGGTCTAGATGATTTCCAAGCTCTCTTCCAACTACAATTCTATAATTCCAGGGCTGGAATATAGTTCGGCAACCAAGCACTCACCTATCAAGTGCAAGGTTGGATCCCCAGAGTAACAAAAAAGTCTATTTTCCAAATCATGTTATATTTCACGTCTTTGGCATTACTTAGGAGCTTTTCTATCACAGAAAATGAACCAATGAGGGATCAACATGTGATGATGAGAAAAGTCTTCACTAATATTTAAAAACAAAACCAAAAACAAACACTTGGGAGGATGGGAAAACTCTCCTTTCCTGTCTCTGGATATAGTAAATTCAACCAAGTAGAAGAAATATGTATTACTGGTTTGGTTTAGTCAGTTTTTACTATTTGTTCCTTGAAGATGTGAAGCTTATGACTTGAAAATGCACAAGAAATCAGCAAATACCACTAGTTAAATCCACTGTACCTTTTCAGCTGAGGCTCCAGTCAACACAAATGTAGAGAACACAGGAAGAGGGTATTTGCTATTTGGTGGCCAGCATTCAATAGTTGCACCCATTGGTAAACAAAACAGGGGAACAGATTCTGGTAGTGAAAATGACTCGTAATCTTCTTGAGGATATCTGCAAATTAGACCTATGACAGCAATGGGGAATAGTAGGTCACTGTCTCTTGAAGGTAGGTGTTTTCTAAGTTAAATGACAATAAAATGCTTTCTTATTTCACACATTTAGAAGGCCAAAAATTGCATATATGTTCATCAGATAATTCTGAATGTGTCAGTAGGATTTATATAGGTGTTAATCTTCAAGGATCATTAACTATTAAATTGTTTAACATTTATCAAACTTCATCTACAAAGGCTAGATTAGAAGTAACAAGAAAAAGAGAAGCCTTTAAAAATACACATACCCCTAAAAATTCACTTTATGTCACACTACCTTAAAGTATATATTTAAAATTTTTAATATGGTTATTTGCCTATATCTACTTTATCACTCTTATTAACAATTCCTCTGGGGCCTTTTTATACATTATATATAAAGTATATATTAATATATATGTTTGCATATAAATATATTTATATTACATGTAATAATATATATATAAAATCTCCTATAGGAGTCTAAGTGTCAATTCTTACACAAACGAAAGACAACTCAAAGAGTAGACACAGATTTAGAACTCCATTAGAATGGTGTTGCCTCAAACTCAGCTTCTGAATAATTCTAAATTATCCCCACTTAAACGTAGATAGGAGTTTCAAATAACCCAGAGTTTCATGATAATCTACTCATGAAAATGGAATAGGTATCTTCCACTGAAGACACCCTAGAAACAGAGCTTTATACTGAATATTGCAGGGTTAGCAACAGAAAACAGGTTTCATGACCATGAAGTCCTTAAAGTCAGGTAGAAACCATCACTAGTCACACCATTAAAAACAAAGAGATAAACTGGGACTCTGAACAGCTGGCTCTACTGCCAATGTCTCTGATTCTCAACCAGCGGGCCTCAGGTTCTTTTCATCTGCAAGGCGAGATGAACTAGATAAACTAAGGTTCTCCCTCTCATCACATGGCAGCCAGCCAGTGGGGTCCCCTGAGGGCCACAGTTAACTGTGTTCTAGTCTCTCAGGTCATGATGCAACAGCACAGTTGTAAAGTAAGAATAGAAATATTGGTGAACTGTGGGCCTTGGAAAGTCAAAGGGAGAAAAGAGGCAAGGACTCTAACTGTAAAAGGGTGAATCTGCTATCTTATAAGTAAGATCAAATGTCTGACATTCTGAAGTCTCTTAAAATTGAAAACTTCAACTATGCATCATAAGATTGCAAATTAGTGTTAATACTATTTGTTATCATGAAATATAACCATTAAATTTGACTAAACTAATATAAATATTAAAGAAGCATCCTTTTCATACTTTGCACAGGTTTAAAAATTAAAGAGAATTGGCATGTACTCAAGTTGTTACTTAAACTTAAGGCTTAAAAAAAACAACCTCACTTTCTTTTCAAAGTGATCTTTCATGCAGCATCCCAAACACTTCAAGATAAACTGAGACTCAAGAGACAGGGACTGGAGTTCAAGTGCTGCTACGAACACATCCTAACATGGCACACAGCCTGTTTACAGGCAGGTCTTGTCTTTAACCTTGTAGACCCCACAATATGTCTCTACATAAATTGTTTCTCCCAAAATTATACTTACCAGCTTTGTAAGATATAGTGTTAGTCTTTGCCACTGATTTTTTATAGCATAAGTACACTGCAGAGCCCCACTGAAAAGAGAGGGAAAAAGTAGCATTCAATTTTAAAGGCAGTAACTTGGTGAAAATGAAATCTCCTTGAGCTGCCCCGTATGGATTAGCTAGCATGTACTAACAGATTCACCTGCTAGCCATTTCCAACCTGTTACTCTGTTAGCATTTTATCAGCATCATTGCATACTTCCTTTCAGAAGATCTGACAATCCCTCCTTCACTGTAGTGGGGAAAAATGACCCTTTAAAATAAAACTAAGTCACTAAAATTTAGACAGAAGTATCAAGGGCCATTCTTTGGTCATTGGTTGAAAAGTAAGAAAACAACCACTTAACATTTCTTTCTATGATCTTTTTTTAAAAAGAAAACTTAAGACAAATTTAACAACTAGACAATTTTTAAAGCTCTTCTCTAAATATTTTAAATATATAAAAAGGATTAAGCAGTAATTAAAGGAGTAACTAATAATATCTGACATTCATACATCATTTGATATTATTGTAGGCATTATCCCAAGTTCTTTGTAATACTAATTCATTTATTCTTCAAAACTGCCTATGTAGGAAAAAAAGCATCACTTTGTCCCTAGTCCATGAATGAGGAAACTGAGGCACAAACAGTGAAGGAATTTGTCCACTCTGCATATCTGGGATTCAAACCCAAGCAGGTTGGCTGGTGTCTATGCTGACCATGCTGCTAACAATGCCTCTTTATTCTCTGCAGAGGAGAATACATGCTCTGTGGCAATAGAGAGAGACTACTGTCTCAGCAGGAAAAAAAGAAACGCACTCTGGTTTTAGTTACAATGGCAAAGTTTAGCCAAAACACCTTGATTAGTTAATGAGACTTAGAAACAGTGCTAATGACAATGTCAATTACTTTCAATCCAAAACAAATACATGAACACATCCACAAAATAAAACTTGCCAATGGGAAAATACCAATTATCTGTAAGCTTATACCATGTTGCTAAAAATACCAGATTAAATCTGAAATGTTGTATGGTAGATCCTACATTCATGAAAGAATTCAAAAACATTCTTTGCCCTTACCACCACCATTACTACTGTTGCTGCTGCTGCTGCTGCTGCTGCTGCTGCTGCTGCTGCTGCTACTATAGCCTTTAAAAACTCTTTGTGAGCCAAATGTGGTGGCTTGTGCTTGTAATCTCAGCACTTGGGAGAGTGAGTGAGCCAAGACAATCACCATGAGTTGGAGGCTAGTCTGAATACCCAGTGAGGTCCAGGCCAGGTTGAGCTACAGAATAATATCTTGTCTCACTCCTGGACCACGCCCACCTCCAAAAATTCTATTTGCTACCACAGTTTTCTTCTTCTACTATAATCCCTTCAACAGCTATATAATATTGCTAAATCATAATAATCTGCAAGGGAATTTTCTATATATGATTAGTTACAGTAAAAAATGGTCATTTAATTAGGGGTGATAAACCTACAGAGAACTTCTTTTAGGATAAAGTTATATATTGTCAGCAATCACTTTTCAAATAGTTTCTTAAAGAAATGGCTCATGCCGGGCGGTGGTAGTGCACGCCTTTAATCCCAGCACTCGGGAGGCAGAAGCAGGCGGATCTCTGTGAGTTTGAGGCCAGCCTGGTCTACAGAGGGAGATCCAGTACAGGTATCAAAAAAAAGAAAGAAAAGAAAAGAAAAAAAGTTCAATTCTTAACAAAGTTATAAAGTGACGGGAACATAAATTAGTTAAAGTTTTCTTGATACAAATCTTGAGAATGAACATGTGTCATACAACAGGGCATGAGCAGTATAGTACAATGCTTAGCTCTTAGTTCTGCAATTTTATAGCCTGGGTCTGAGTCTTGCTTCACCAACTTATTGAAGGTGTTTGTATGAGAAAAAAACGGAATTTTTAATTCTCAAATTTCCTTCTTTGTAAAATGGGGGTAAAATACCTATTAAGGTCATTGGCAGGAGTGAAGAAATACTTAGAATACCACACAGAACATAGACAGTAAATACAACTTACTTTACATAAAATTTAGTATGTCAACAGCTTGCTTCTAATATTAAAAATCAGAATTTCAATGTCTTATAGGAGAAGATAGAACAAACAAATTATAGCAAATTCATCCAATGCAGCAATCTTCATTAAAAATTGCTGTTTTTTGGTTGGAGAAATGGCTCAGCAGTTAAGAGCACTGGCTGTTAACTCCCAGCAACTACATGGTAGCTCACAACCATCTGTAATGAGATCCGATTCTCTCTTCTGGTGTGCCTGAAGACGCGTCACTCATATACATTAAATAAATAAATATTTTTAAAGGATTGCTATTTTCCCTAGACCCCCTTTATCCACACATTCATTTTCACAGTTCAGTTCCCTGTGGCCATTTGGTCATACTGACTCCCTTTTCCTTCCTCCCCCAGGTCCCCTGGGTTTCCTTTAACTCTCAAATTCATACCCTCTTGTTTTTGTTTTTCTTTAAATAACTCCAGTTAGTGCTCCTATACGTGCATGGGTGTGGGGGCATCCACTGGAGCATAGCAACCTAACAGTGGCCACACCTTCCTAGAACACTTACTCTCAGGGCTGGAGAGACAGTTCAACAAGTAAGAGCACTGGCTGCTCCGCTAAAGGACCCAAGTTCAATTCCCAACAACCATATGGCAGCTTACAACTATTTGTCACTCCAGTCCCAGGGGATTCAATGGTGCATCTTCTGGCCTCCATGGACACCAGGCACACAGATGTACATGCAGTTAAAACACCCATAAATATTAAACAAAAGCAGAAAAGTTACTCTCATTCCCCCAGCAGCCATCAACTGCCAATAGATCTTCAACTAGAGATGGGGCCTCGTCAGCACCTCCCCTATCAGTTTAGAATGCTTAACCTGAATGGCATTTGTGATGGGAACTTGCACTATCCTGTTCCATCCTGCCTAGGACATGAATCATCCCTTTGTCCAGAATATACTTGCATCGTGTGCTATCTGCCCATTACTCACTCAACAGCAACATCAGTGCCTGTGTTTGAGAAGTCCTCACTGTACTTAACAATGGCTCCAACATATCAGATAGTGATATTGGCTATTGTTATACTGCTCTGTTATATTTCATTACTAGCTGCTGTTGCTAATCTCTTACCATGCCTTATGCATAAGTTAAATTTTATTATAAACACACATACACACACATGCACATACAGACACAGACATACACACACACACACACACACACACACACACACACACACACACACGGAAAAACATAGTATATTTATGATTATTCAAGAATCTAGGGGAGGAGTCAGAGTTAAAAGCTTAAGGCTCAGCAGTTAAGAACATGTACTTCTCTTGCAGAGACCTAAGTTCTGTTCCTACCAATTACATCAGGCAGCTCACAAGCCTGTAACTCCAGCTCCAAAGGTCCTCAGCTTCAGGCCTTTGTGGACACTTGCACTCATATGTACATACCCAAACACTCACTCACACACACACACACACACACACACACACACACACATACATACATTAAAGAGAAAATCTTTTTGAAAATTTAGGATTATCACTAGGAGTCTTGGAATATGTTTTCATAGGTTCAGGGGAAGTTGTATGCATTAAAAGATGTTCAATCTCCACAATAACCAAAAAAAAGTTAAAATCACAGTGATTTATACTTCATTAATTCAAAAGACATTAACTGACAACAATCAATGTTGGCAAGGCACAGGACTAAAGAAGAGGTGTTCTTATACACTAGGGCTAGGGCTAGAAGAAATACAAATTATCACTGGGGTTTCTTTTTGTTTTGAGACAGGGTTTCTTTGTGTATCTCTGGCTGTCACTTGCTTTGTAGACCAGGCTGGCCTCAAACTGAGAGATCCACCTGCCTCTGTCTCCCGAGTGGTGAGATTAAAGACATGCACCACCACCACCCAGTTACCATCATGTTTTCAAATTAATCTGTCAACATATTTCCAAAGACACAGTATACCCACGGACCCACCAATTCATCAATGTCTTTAAAACATTTTTATTGATTTATGTGTATGAGTGCTTGCCTGCTTGTCTATATGTGGACCATGTGCATACCTGGCACCCTTTGAGGTCAGAAGAGCTCATCAGATTGCCTTGAAACTGGAATTGCAGATGGTTGAGAGCCACCAAGTGGGTGCTGGGAACCAAATCTGGGTCCTCTGCAAGAGTATCCAGTGCTCTTACCCTTAGCCATCTCTCCAGTCCCCAATCTACTTTCAATTATTTGTTCTCCCACTGTCATTTTAACAAACATTCATAGAAAAAGGCACAGAGTTGATCAAAGCTGCATTACTGTTAATATGGAAAACTAGAAGTAACTTGTATTTATCACCCTATATTTATACTTTCTGGAATAGTTTGTAATTATTGAAAGACAGTAGAAAGTCATATTTAACTAACACAGATAAGTGGTTTTAAAAAAAAAGCTTGTGTTGAATAGAAATTACACACACGCACACACACACACACACATGCGCGCGCACACACCCCTAAATGGAACCAGGTGTGGTACCACACATCTTTAATCCCAGCATTTGGGGGGCAGAAGCAGGTGATCTCTATGAGTTCAGCCTGGTCTACATAGTGAGACCTGTGTCAAAGGAGAAAAGTAAGTAAATGTAACTTTTTAAAGATTATTCTGGCATGGATCAGGCTTATGACACTGAAGTAGTTAGGAGGCGATCAAGTTCAAGGTATGTTTTGAAATGAGTGTCAACAGAGTTTATAGGAGAACACAATAAGTAAAAAAAGAAAGGTTCACATTTCTCCAAAGTTTGCTAGTCTAAGTAAGTTTGAGTGAAATTTCCATTCATTAGACAAGCAAGACTATGGCAATAAGAAGGTCTGAAAAGGTACATCAAGATTTCACTGCAGGTCATGTTAAATTTGAGGTGCTCTATTAGGTACAATAACTAACAAGAGACAATAAATTAAAGGGTCTGGTCAGATACAGAAATTTACAAGTCACCACATGTTGTATTAAAATAATTCGATCAACAAGGGAGTAAACTTTGGTTGTGAAGGTGAATGCACTGAGGACTGAACCCTGAGCACTCCACTGAACAGGAAGCTGGGAGAGAGGAAGGGAATGACTGGTGAGGTAAGAGGGAAAAGAATCAAGTACATAGGTCAGTGCCATTATAGATGGAAAAATATTACCATCTAGAACAAAACCTAAAGAATTGAGATGAAGAACTGATCACTGGATTCAGTCACAGAATCTTGAGATGAGGCAGTTTAAAACTGGAAAGAGCCAAAGTGAAGGGCGAGGTAAAATATATTCAACTCTTTTTTTTGCATGGGATGGGGTTGTAACAAGGTCTCAAGTAGCTCGGAGTGGCTTTGCACTTGCTATATGGCCAATGATGACTTTGAATTTCTGATCCTCCTGCCTCAATTCCTGAGTGTTGTAATTAGAGGCATGCTCCACCACACCCAGTTTATGCAGCACAGGGGATGGAAACAGGGTCTTACTCGTGCTAGGCAAGCACTACACTCAGCTAAACCCTCTCCATTCCCAACCACATACTCAGCTATACCCTTTCCATCCCCAACCACATACTCAGCTATACCCCACCCCTTCTATCCTCAGTCAACACACAGATGTTGAAAAGTTTCACTGAAAAGAATGGTGAACTGGGACAATGGAAGAGAGGAGAATATGGAATGAAACACTTTTAAAAAGATGGCCATCTTGCAACAAGTTTTGCATGCGTTTAACAGAAGGAAACAGATGGTGAACAAAAAAGTAGGGTAGACTGCCAAAGCCATGTCCTTAGAGCTGTGTGTGCATGGGATCCAGTATGCAAGGATGGGAACAGGGAGGCAGCCATGGTATTAATTTACTGACTCTGTACTAACACCGAAAAGTTATTTAAGTTAGAAGGAAGAAGGGGAGAGGGAAAGAGGAGCAGAGGAGGACACAGCTTCTTCCACAGTTTTCTGTGAAAGTACAATTATTCTTCACTGATGAGTGTCTAATTGTATTAGAGCTAAGGAACTAACTTACCATACTATTGTTGAGATTCTTGTCAACCTTGCAGTATGTGTGTGGTGGACTTTCTCCTTTACTGGGTATAATAATGCATATGTCTGTGACAGCCAGGGTGTTCTGAGTCATGTTTTCAGAGGCTCTTCGGTAAGTGATGTAGATTCTTTGTGATGAGGTACTGCCACTAATATTGGCAGGTCGTCCATAGGGAGTATTCTGAATAATCTCACAGCCCTGTTTTAATCTTTCTTTCCAGTCATATAATACCCTAAAACATAAAAATTTTAAGAAGTAAGTACACAAAGTTCCCTCAAACCTGAAAGATAACAATCTCAAGTATCATGGATGCACCCTAAAACGCAGCACTGTATAAACTATGTGTGCCAGTATACACTAAAAATTCCAGTACTTCGGCTGGGCGGTGGTGGTGCACGCCTTTAATCCCAGCACTCGGGAGGCAGAGCCAGGCAGATCTGTGTGAGTTCGAGGCCAGCCTGGTCTACAGAGGGAGATCAGGAAAGGTGCAAAGCTACACAGAGAAACCCTGTCTCGAAAAAAAACAAAAAAATAAAAAAAAATTCCAGTACTCAGGAAGAGGAAGCAGGAGGATCAGAAATGCAATATCATCCTTGGCTACATTACAAGTTCAAAGCCATGGCTACCTGAGATTCTGTCACAATCTACATCTTCTGCAAAAAAGACTTGGGTATATTCTGCCCCCATTTTTCACTTTGACTCTTTCCAGATAAGTTTTTTTGTTGTTGTTTGGTTTTGGTTTTTGGTTTTTCAAAACAGGGTTTCTCTTTGTAGTTCTGGCTGGCCTGGAACTCCCTCTATAAACCAAGCTGGCCTCAAACTCAGAGATTCACCTGCCTCTGCCTCCCAAGTCCTGGGATTAAAGGTGTGTGTCACCACCTCCTGGCTTCCTGCCAAGTATTTTTTTTTTTTACTACATTCTCCAACTTATTTAAAGACTAAATTGCACAGTCCTTTTTACTAAAGAATAACTGTTTCCCTATTAAAACTTCAAATAATGCTTTGTGCTAATAAATACATCAGAGTGGCAATAATTAAATACAAGGACACTTAATGTTCAGCATTCCATTTAGTTAAGTTATTTATTAATACATTTACTTACCTATGTTCTATAAAATCAAACACACTCTATGGGAAATGTAACTGTATTCTAGTCAAAGTTAAAATCTACAGAAGGTTGCATGACCAGACAGTATCTTCTTGCATACTTTTACTTTAATACTTTCAATAAGGATTTCCAAACACAAAGGAGTTAAAAACGTCTTAATTATTTAAAATGCTACTTCCAGTTGTATTACCTTAGGTAGCATTTAACCTCTCTGAGCCTTACACTACTTAGTTATAAAATCAAAACATAGGCCAGTGAGTAAAGACACTTGTCACAAAGTTTGACAACCTGAGTTAGATCTTACAACCTACATGGTAGAATACACACACACACACACACACACACACACACACACACACACACACGGGGTAGGGACAGAGAGACAGGCACAGACAAATTAAATAAATAAATTAATTAATAAATAAATAAATTCCCTGGCTTCAGAGATACCATGATAAGATGGATATCATAAAGAATGGAGAGGAGGCTGGAGAGATGACAGTGGTTAAGAGCACTGGCTGCTCCTCCAGAGGACTTGGGTCCAATTCCCAGTACCCACTTGGTGGCTCACACCCATCTGTAACTCATTTCAGGGGATCTGATGCCCTCCTCTGGCCTCCCTGGGCACTAAACATGCATGTGGTACACAGGTATACATGCTGACAAAACATGTATACACACAAAATAAAATTTTAAATGGAGAAATATTTGTAAATCATACACCTAATGAAGGACTGCATTAAGAATTTGAAATGAGGCCGGGCAGTGGTGGCGCACGCCTTTAATCCCAGCACTCGGGAGGCAGAGCCAGGTGGATCTCTGTGAGTTCGAGGCCAGCCTGGGTTACCAAGTGAGTTCCAGGAGAGGCGCAAAGCTACACAGAGAAACCCTGTCTCGAAAAACCAAAAAAAAAAAAAAAAAAAAAGAATTTGAAATGAGGGGCTGGAGAGATGGAAGAACATTGGCTGTTCTTCCAGAGGACCAGGGTTCAATTCCCAGCACCCACATGGTAGCTTACAGTGTCTGTAACTCCAGTTCCAGGGGATCCAACACCCTCACACAGACAGACATGCAGGCAAAGCAACAGTCAATGCTCATAAAATAAAAAATAATAATAATAATTAAAAGAATTTGGAATGAACTCTTTAGCTTATCAATAAAAACATAACCCAATTAAGAAATGAGTAAAAGAGCTAAACAGACATTTCTCAAATGATACTTGCCAATAAGCACATGGAAAGATGTTCAGTATCATTACCAAACACAAGAATGCAAATTAAAATCACAATTAGATTCTATTTCATACTCACTAGTACAAATATAATCAAATAGAAATACGAAATCTTATGCAGTCTGTGAAAAAATATCAAAACCCCCACACCCTGTTGGTGGGAATGTGCAATACTTGTAAAGCTTCTTTGGAAAATATTCTGGAAGTTTCTCAAAAGGTTAAATACAGAATTATCATATGATCCAGCAATTCCACTCATAATATACACACAAACAACAAAAACATATCTACATAAAAACTTGTACATGAATAATCATAAAAGTATTATTAATAATAGCCTCAAAGTATAAACAACCCAAATATCCATCAACTGGTGACAAGATAAACTATAGTGCAGCCATATGTTGAAATATTATTTGGTCATTTAAAGTAATGAGGTACCAGTACATATTACAACATGGATGACACTTAAAAACATGTTAAGTTAAAGAGGCCAATCACACAAGGCACATACAGTATAATTCCATTTGCATGAAATGTCCCAAATAAGCAAATCTATAGAGAAAGGGAGAAAGCTGTGACTGCCTGGGACTAAGAAGGTTAGGGAACCTGGCCAGCACACACTAATGAGGACAGGATTTCTTTCTGACATGATGAAAGTATTCTAAAATATGTTGTGGTGATAGTTGTATACCTCTGACTATACTGAATTATATGCTTCAAATGGCTAAGATCACACTGTACATAATTATATTTCAATGAGGTTGTTATAAATAGAAAAGAGCCTCCAAATCCAATATAGTAGGGCTCTAATTTACCCCAAGATCCTTATTTGATACATGGTTAAGCATCCATCTATAATTATGTATGTGTACCTGTAGTTTCACTAATTTAAGAGGTTGAGGAAGGAGTTTGAGCAAGCCTGGGCAACACAGAGTCTTATCTGAAAATTTTTTCAATTTAAAATTTGTGATAAGGGTAATAATTAATTTTCTGGTACCCTCTGAAAATAAATTACTCTCTCCTTTGTATCTAACAGGAAGGTGAGCACTAGGACTCTCAGGACAGAGAGATGGAGACAGAGTGAATATAGAATTGTAGGTATGCATTGCTTTATTTTTTAATTCCTGACCCCCTTTTATTAACAGGTAGTAGGGGAAGAATAGGTTCTCACTATGTAGCCAAGCCTGGCATCAAACATAACAATCTTCCTGCCCTAGTCTGCCAAGTGCTAGGATTACACAGGTATGTACCTGTAATCCTATACCCATGCAAATGTGTCTGGTTCTAAAGCTACCATACCACTATTAATGCTCATAACTAACAGTTAACTTCAAAATTTACAATGCATACAATTTGGATTAATAACAGTAATTCATTAAAAAATACTTACCCCAGATCTGTAAGTGGAGGTTTATCTCTCCCTCTCTTATAGCAAAGGTAAATCTGGGGTCCCACAAGACTTCCATTATTGAGATCTGCTGACAATCCAGTTGGAGTAACGTCAATACACGTGTAATCCCGTGGCACCTCCTCCCCAAGGGATTTGATGATAACAGAAACGTCTGTGATGGGTTCTTTCGGTTTAGCCACTTTGTGACAGGCATCATTGAAATGAATTTCCTCTTCAAGAGGCTTTGAGACATCAGTTAAGCCTGCTACAACAAAGTAGTCAGCAACACGAGGCCCCTTGTCTTCAATCATCTTCCATCACTAAGTTTACATCTAAGTAAAAAGAAAATATCTTATTCTATAATCGGCCACATCAAAGTACAAATCTATAAAGAATGCAAGTCCTGTTCACCCTAGTATTAGATATTTTACCAATGTAAGTGAAAAACATGCCTTTTTTGAAAATGAGACAATCTTTAGCAATTTTATTATAAAACTAATGCAATCATTCCCGATTCTGGTATCATGGAAACCTAGATCACTGAAGTAGATAACAACAACAAAAAAAAACCCAGCCCTTTAAATATATACATGAACCTTTAAAATATAATGGAAGTTCCCACATCATCAAAATACTGAGGAGACCGAAAGCCAGAATGCAATCAATTTATAAGCTAATGTTGGATCAGAGAATCTGCCATCTCCTCAATACTCCTCAATAATCAAGGAGTTGGGCTTTAAAAGGCATTACAAGGACAGGAACAAGGCTTCTGGTCAAAATCAGACAAGGAACTGGAATGGAAACAGTCATATAAAGCCAAAAGCCCCAAATGACTAGACTCTTGGTTAAAGAGTGGATTTTCAAACCTATCCATACCGGGCTTGGGTGTGGCTCAGTGGTAGAGCACGTGTGAGGCCCTGGGTTCAAGCCCAAGCACTGAAACCCCATCCCCTGACACACAAGGAAGCTGGCTTCAATGCGCCCCTGGCTTGTGCTGCACTCAGACTCTGGAGCTTGAACTTAAGCCATTTTGAAGGTTCCAGGAAGCTCCAACTGAGAAACGTACAATAAAAGTATTCTGAGACTAGTGATATCCCTGGGGGAGCAAATGTAAAGCAGCTCTTGAGGCTACACCCTAAACCCAGGTTTCCATAGACAAGGCCCACTTGAAGATGAGCTCCTATTCTAAACCACAAAAACATACAAGGAAAAATCTACCATGAATGAGTCTCAGCATATACAACAAACAAGTACTCAAATAAAAGAACACAACCCTCTTACAATAAACTAAAAAGACAAATAGATTCATAGATCTAGAAGCCTTTAAGAGTAAAACCTCCTTCAGTTGTCTACAATCACTTCACCCTTCTTTTCTTCTTTAGGCTAATATGCTGCTAGCATTGTCATTACTTGTAAAGGTTACAGGGTGAGAGTTCTATTTAAAACAACAATGCAGCATGAGTCTCATGTCAGTCTTGGTTTTAACAAAGGCAAACAAGAAAAAGACTTTCAGGACAAACAAATTAGGCATGCATATGCCATCAACCTCTTTCTCACAGTTACTATCTATATGACATATGGGGTACATAAATGACTGTAGCATATATTTCATATACATGGAAAGGTTAATATTAAAGTTAGTCATTCATTTAAACTCTAGGATTTCCAGAATGTACTTGAGCAATAAACCCTATTTTACCACCTAACAACTAGAAAAACTCTACAACATGCTCTAAAAATTGCTAGTTCAAAGTAAATAACCTTCCCTGAGGGAATTTGTGTCATGCATCAGAGTAAACCCTCCTATACTGGGCTGAGAGGATGGCTCAGTGGGTAAAGTGCCTGCTGTGTAAGCATGATGACCTGAATTCACATCCCAGCACCATGGAAAAGCTGGGGGTGCTTGAGGAGGGGGAGATAAAAACAGTAGATCCCTATGTTTTCCTCAAACTTACTGACCAACCAATCTATCCGGTGAGCCCCAGGCTTAGTGAGAAACCCTTTGCAAAACATGAGGCGGAGACTAATAGAGGAAGATACTGGATGTTGACCTCTAGCCTGCACGTAAATACACACTTGTGAATGTATACATGCTTACACACACACACACACACACACACACACACACACACACACACACACACCCCTTCTATACTAAGAGGTAAATTTCTCTCCCTGTTTGTTTTTTTATGGTTGATGGGGATTGATCCTAGGGCCCTCTATGTGCCAGGGAAGTGGTCTACCATGAGCCTTTAGCCTCAGAAAGTAAATTTCTTTACATTAATTTTTGGAAACTGGGGATCACAAAAAAAAAAAAAACATGCTCTTAATCCAAAGGTTCTCCAGATAATAACTGTAATACAAAGTCCTGAAATGTTATTAATTTGCAGTAACAATACTGCATCATTTATCAACAATTACTTGATAACTCTTCTTTGTTCAAAATGTTATAGATAACTTTAGGAACTTACTCATAAAACAGAATGTTTAGGATCTGGCTCAAGGGAAAAGGCATTTGGTGGCAAGCCTGATTACCTCAGTTCAATTCCTGGGATCCACGGGGTGGAAGGAGAGAACTGACTCCCACAAATTGTCCTCTGGTATCCATTTACATGTCACAGCATGTGTGTACTACATATGTACAGATGCACACAATAAAATATAAATAAGATGAAATGCTTACAGGCCTCTTTTATACACCTGGGAGAGGAGTACGGGGTGAGGGTGATCAAAATATACTTTAACAAATTCTTTAAAAATTAATAAAAATATTGCATTAAAATTTATTATGTCTGCTGAGCTAGTATTTTACTTATTTTAAAAATGATTTACAGCATATGATAGCACCTTCAGAGGTTTTTCTTCCCCCACCCCCACCCCGAGATAGGGCCTCACTATGTAGCTCTGGCTGTCCTAGAACTCACTCTGCAGACCAGTCTGGCTTCAAACTCACAGAGAGGCACCTGTCTCTGCTTCCCAAGTGCTGGAATTAAAGACACGCACCACTATGCCCAGCCCAGGTTTTCATACAAGATATATTTGTACCTCAGTAAATCCAAGAACAGGTTAAGTAGTCTAATATCCTACAGTGCTGGGGATGGAAGCCAACCTCTTGCAAATAAGAAGGCAAGCACTCTATCACTAAGATGGATACAATGCCCAGCCCCAGTATTTCACTTTAAGTGGAATCTATTGTCCTTGGAAATAGAAAACAAGAAGGATGTGCACTCTATTCCTAAGAAATAGGAGATAACTAAATTGAAAAGTCATTACAAGAAGGCTCTTACCCATTCAGCAACTAGTGGAGATTGGTTTGTTTTTCTCCCTTTCAATCTCTGGCCAATCCAGATGCTTTTCATTTCTTGCCTCACTCCATTAGGTCAAAGTAGTTAAGCATGTGCTACCAAGACTGCCTCTAAAGAAAACGCAAGAGTGAAAATTTGAGGGGATGTTGTATACATAATATCATTATATATCATTATATACATACATATCATTATATATTGTGTGTATATATTACCTATGCATATCAATATATAATATGCATAATATTATATATAATGATATATATGTAAAATTCTGAACACTTAAGTTTTGCAAAATTAGTAACTACCAGTGCCAGGTATAGTGACCAGACACTTCTGACCTCAGTTTATAGGAGACTGAGGATAGTGAGTTTGAGATCTGCTTAGGCTGTAAAAAGAAAGTATCAACTACTACTGAAATTTCCAGATATGATCTGATAATCACACACTCAGACTTATATATGAAAATGATCAGTACCACAATGGGCCAGCTGATTAAATATAAGAAATTTTCTGCTGGATTTGAACTCACAAACCTCCTGCTTCATCTTCCTGAGTTCAGGGATTTTAGACTGTGCATTATACTCCCCTCTAAGAGACATTTTTCTTTCTTTCTTTTTTTCTTTTTTTGGTTTTCAAGACAGGGTTTCTCTGTGTAGTTTTGCGCCTTTCCTGGAACTCAGTTTGTAGCCCAGGCTGGCCTCGAACTCACAGAGATCCGCCTGGCTCTGCCTCCCGAGTGCTGGGATTAAAGGCGTGCGCCACCACCGCCCAGCTAAGAGACATTTGAAAACATCTTTCAATAAATTTTTTTGTATCACCTGTTACTTACAATTATCATATAATGAGTATATCACAAATTCTTAAAGCTCTGGAAAATTAAATTTTCAGTGTTTAACAAAGAAAAAACCCAACAGGAACAAATCACAATAAAAAAACAAAAACTACTCACACATTACCGAAGTTTCTATTGAAAAACAGCAGTTCCCAACATGTGAATTCTTCAGGCCTCCGGATTGAGAAATACTGTATTGAAAAGAAGAGGAATTTAGGTTAAATTAATTCTAGTAAAATATCCCCCTAATATATCTGTGGATACTTAAAGACCTACTAACAATAATTTTTCAATAAATACCAGATTATTCAAAAAGCACACTTTAGTCAAGAATAGATACAGACTTGAAAAGAAATTGATCCAGGAGAGTAAGAGAAAGCAGAATAATAAACAGAATAAAAGTGTGGGGAAGCAAGGGAAAGGAAATAATTTTAAATGCCTGTTCCTAGGGCACCTGTGGATAGTGTCTCATTCATAAAGCAAAAATACCTATTCAAGACAATTTAAAAGTAGATGCAGAAAAGTTCCAATACTTTTTTCAAATAAGACCAATGTGTGGTGGTATTGTGTTCCCCAAAATATTGTGTACCCTAATAAATTTATCTGGGGTCAGAGAACAGACAGCCACTAGATACAAAGGCTAGAAAATGGTGGCACTCACACCTTTAATCCTAGCACTCCAGAGGTAGAAATCCCTCTGGATCTCTGTGAGTTCAAGGCCACATTGAAAATGGCCAGGCATGGTGACACACACCTTTAATCCCAGGGAGTGAGGGTAGAAAGGAAAGATATATAAGGCATGAGGACCAGGAACTAGAAGCATTTGGTTGGTTAAGCTTTTGGCTGGTTAAGCTTTTAGCTAGTTAAGTTTCAGTCTTTCGAGCAGCAGCAGTTCAGCTGAGACCCATTCGGATATGAGGACACAGAAGCTTCCAGTCTGAGAAAATAGGACCAGCTGAGAAGTTGGCCAGGTGAGGTTAGTTGTGGCTTGTTCTGTCTCTCTGACCTTCCAGCATTTCACCCCAATAACTGGCCTCAGGTTTGATTTTATTAATAAGAACTCTTTAAGATTCATGCTACACCAATGTTCAAAGATTTTTCTTTTACTATAAATATTTACAACTATCTTGATATAATAAGCATATCGGTCCTTCACAACAGATACAATAGGGATAGGATAGAAGAACCAAAGCTGGGCTAGGAATGTTGCTCAGTGGCAGACCACTGACCCAGTCTACACCAGGTTCAATTTCTAGCCCTATAGAAAAACAAGCAAACAAAAACCAAACCTCTGGCACAAAACAAGCCATGCTGTTTTACGAGACTTAGCATGTCGCTGTCATGCTTTCTTTAGATTGCGTGAGTGAGTGAAGAAGAGGCGGCCTCACTGATACAGTTTCAGGGTGCACTAACACTGACTACGGTGCCTGCTGAGGGTATTCCACAACGCTGGAAACACACAGGAAAGGAGTTTTGAGTCATCTGGGGGTCCAGCACATCCCCCCTGACCACAGTATCATGTGATGGTCCTTCTGTTCCCAGCCTCTTAAATCCGCTCGAATTCCAGAAGAGTAAAGACCAACAACCCTTTAAAAAGGAATGACTTTCCTCCTTCCTTGTCCTAGACCAGTGGGGTTGTGGTAGTGTGATTTCTCAGTGACTTCCTATACTGTTCCTTCCTCGAGGTGGGGGTAGACAGCCATCCCAGGATAAGTCTTTATCACTTAACCTGGAAAAACAAAAACAAACCCACGAGTCTCTCTGGGCCAAAGACTGCAGGAACACAAGCTGAAGTGCAAATCCTGTGTCCACCAAGAAGGAAAATCACCTTTACCTGATCTGGACCATCGTCGGGTGACAGGGGAACAGCAGCAGAAACAGGTAACAATAAGCTTTAAATGACTCTTAGCAGGCAGAGACAAGTGGAGCCCTTTGAGTTCAAGGCCAGCCTTGTCTGCAGAGTGAATTCCAGGCCAACCAAGGCTAGCTAGCTTTTTTCTCAAGGAAAAAAAAAACAAAAACAAAAACAAACAAACAAACAAAAAAACCCCATGACATAGTTGGTCCTAGATACCAGTCCACCAGCCTCTGTGGGAAGTGAGAGAGAATGAGATGAAGGACTTAAAATGTTTCAGTCACAATTTTGATACAATCTCTTAGAAGGAAGGGTAAAAAGAAAGAATGAAAATTAACATAAATGTATAATCTTGTTACTTTTTGATTTCTATTGTTTGATTTTTTTTTTAAAGACAGGTTTCTACTATATATAGCTCAAGACAGCCTTAAGTTTGCAATCCTCCTGCCTCAGCCTCCCAGTACCTGGCATTCCTGGTGCCATCATGCTTGCCATGGCTGTTACCTTTTGGACTGCTAAAAGTAATTGAGATGAAGAAATGTTTTTTTTTTTGGTTTTTTTTCTTTGGTTTTTCGAGACAGGGTTTCTCTGTGTAGCTTTGCGCCTTTCCTGGATCTCGCTCTGTAGACCAGGCTGGCCTCGAACTCACAGAGATCCGCCTGGCTCTGCCTCCCGAGTGCTGGGATTAAAGGCGTGTGTGCCACCACCGCCCGGCCTGAGATGAAGAAATGGTTTTAAGTAGGATAGTACTCTACTTCAGGCTCACTGAACAGCTTCAAGCACCAACTATGGAATGGCATATATATTTTTTGAAATATTTCTAAATCTTATTGCTCATGGGTAGCAAAGTTAACACAAATACTGACCTGGTGAAATATTTTTTTAAAAAAAAATCCAGTATATACAATTTCAAGTTAAAATACTACATATGTGAGATTTTGAAATACCTGATAGGACATCAGCTTGTTTAGATATCTATTAGATATTTAGGTGTGTCAAAACCAATTCAAAATACATTTTCGCCGGGCGGTGGTGGCGCACGCCTTTAATCCCAGCACTCGGGAGGCAGAGCCAGGCGGATCGCTGTGAGTTCGAGGCCAGCCTGGGCTACCAAGTGAGTTCCAGGAAAGGCGTAAAGCTACACAGAGAAACCCTGTCTCGAAAAACCAAAAAAAAAAAAAAAAAAAAAAAATACATTTTCTTTAAAAAATTAAACATTTATTCTGTGTGTGTGTGTGTGTGTGTGTGTGTGTGTGTATACACAAGCCACTGTGCACAAGTGGAGATGGAAGGACGTCTCATGGGAGTTGGTTCTCTGTTATACGGGTTCCAGGGATCACACTGGGTTTTCAGGCTTGACAGCAAGTGCTGTTACACTCTGAAGACATCTGACCAGACTCCCAAATTTACTTTCTGTCGTTATGAATCCTTTAATATAATAAGGATATTGGTTTGACCATGATTTTATGTTCCACTAAGCAATATTTGTATTACAATTTAAAAAAAAAACAGTTATCACCTGTGCAGTGGTGGCACACATCTTTAATCCCAGAACTAGGGAGGCAGAGGTAGACAGATTTCTGTGAGTTTGAGGCCAGCCTGGTCTACAGAGCGAGTTACAGGACAGCCAGGGCTACACAGAGAAACCCTGTCTCTAAAATAAATAAATAAATAAATAAATAAATAAATAAAACAAACAAAAAACCAAAACCCAGGTATCATTTCCTTAAGTGTTGAAATTTTAGATTAATTTATTGTCACATTCCCAGTATCACATAATTCCATTGATAAACTTCTCAAAACTTTATTCTGACTCCATCAATTATGTAAAAATCAAACACCTGAAATATTATTAGAATTAACTGATTTTCTATTTAATACAAAAATATTTGCAAAGTATTCTGCTAATGGAGGTAATATATTACAGTCACTTCTTTACTTTCCATACATGCACAGAAAAATAAGAAAGAGGCAACTAGTTAGCTTTATTTACTAGCACATCGATGGTTGTAAAGGAGGGACATGCTCCACAGTATAAATACATCAATGTGCTTCCTGTCACTATGTATGTTAAGCCACTATTTTTCAGCACAGACTTCTTTAAACTGCTATTCTTTTTCACTGAAATTTTTACTTAAATTTTTTGAGGTTTATTTTTATAATATGTGTATGAGTGTTTGGTTGCATGCATGTCTGTGCACATGTATGCAGTGAGTGAGGAGGCATTGAATCCCTTGGGACTGGGCCTATAGTCAGTTGTGGGCTACCATGTGGGTGCTGGGAATAGAATCTGAGTCTTCCACAAGAACAGCCAGTGCTCTTAACCAAGGAGTTATCCACTGTGCTGTCTCTCCAGCCCCTGAAATTTTTATTTTTGAGATAGCTGGATACACATTTGGTTGAAAGAAAAAGACCTGGAATTCCTTTTACTGAGTTTTTTCCCATTAGCACACCTTACACAACCATAACACAATGTCAGAATTGGGACACTGACACTGATAATAACAAACTTGTCTTATTACCTAGGTTTGACTAATACTCATTTGTATATGTGTATATCTAAGTCTATACAGACTTAATGCATATGTATCATGCACTTGTCACTAGTCAAGACACAATGCACTTCCAGCACAAGAAGCACACATGTCATGACACCCTCTCCTTACTACATACACTTTCCTTAGGCACCACCTCCATCCCTACTTTCTGTAGATTTCATATATATATATCAGAAATTATATACTGCCCATGAAAGTAAAAGATGTTTCCTAAAGCAACAGTTCCTTACAAAAGGTGTGCAGAAACAAACCGAAGAATAAGGAATAAACACAGAAAGTTCTGTGGGTCACACTCACTCAGGCTAGGGCCCATTCCTTTTGATCATGATTCTACACACATATATAAAGGCATGTATAGGCACATAAAAGATCACTGGAAGTGATCGTCTACCCACTCACAATGAAGACCAGCCTCGTCAGTTTTAAGGTAAATATTCCCACTACAGAGAAACTACAGACTGGAAACAAACAGGCAAAAAGGATGTAAAGGAACAGCTACAGTGGGAACCCAGGTGTGAAAGAGCTAAAGGAGTCATCTTTGTTCAAGGGCAAGTTTGCCCCTCAGCTGGTAATGGGGCCAGAGCAGAAGTAGCTAGTATTGTCTTGGGAATATGGATCTGTTCTTGACAGAACAGGATCGGACTGGAAATCCTGAGTCTTAAGGCACGGTCACTTGTCTCCAGATAAAACTACCAATAATCCAAAGACTGCTATGATTTCTGTTATCTTCTATTACAGCAGATAGAAACACATGGCAGGTGTGTGAACATTTACTAAT